GTACCTCATTTTTATTGGATCTAAAAACACATTTATAATGAATTTTAATAATTTTTTCGGATTTTTTTTGAAGCTTTAATCCGATCGATTCAGCCGATTCTCGATCCAGATCGCCGATTCGTAGATCCGGATCGATTTTTTAGGTGCCCGATCCGGGTCACCGATCCGCTTTTAAACCATTGTTTTAACCTATTAGTGATAGGGAAAAGTTTATATTGAGCTGAGGCTCTAAACAATTAAATTTGAGCCTATCTCAAAAATTTCACTAAAAGATATTGTTTTGATGCTCAAATTCATCATCTCGACATTAAGATGTATGAACATGAGAAAAAAATGGATTTTAAGTTTTGGAAATTAAGTATTTTGTAACGCATTTTTTGACCGTCAATTTTCAAGAATTTCAAGTTTTCATAGATCTCTCTATCTACACTATTTTTCAAGCTTTAAACTTTATAAATAAAGACGAAAATATATTTTAAGGTTATCCAAAAGATTTTTAGTTTTGAAATTATATTTCTCGACACTATTTGAAGGTAGGCTCTATACAAACCGCACCCTTAGTAATATGGTAAATCAAAACTCATATGTAATTTGATGGGCTATTTGAAATTTAATCAAAAGAACAATATTCTATTTAAAATTAGATATAAAAGATAAGGGTGAAACGTTAAATAATTTAAAATTTTACATACTAAGTTTACTCCGGCAAATTTTCCATTGAAAAAAACCTAAGAGGTTTCCAAAAAAAAATTGACCTTTCACCAAGAAGATTGAACATTCTTACTATGAGGTCTTTTTTTATTGAGATTGTATATAATGAGACCTTTTACCTTCGGTGCAAGGAAATCACAATTACCTATGACCATCTAATGCGAAATCTGATAGCTTGGGAGTGTCTCAAACTTCGACAATATTTTTTTTTTTAACTTTGAGCTTAGTCAATGGAATGATTCAGCCACTGAATTTTACATCCAATAGTCAAGATTAACTGCGACCACCTTGTACCAACAATAAATGGTCTCATTGTATATTGTTTCTTTTTTATTAGCAAATTCATTCTACATAGTTCCATATTATATTTTAGAGAAAATTACATACATATCCGTTATACTTTACGTTATTACGGATGTACCAAATAGTTTCCGTTATTACATGTCTGTCTATTTTTACCTTTTATAACGTAATTTTTTTAAAAAGATGACTTTACTTTCTTAAGGTTTCTAGAATTTCGCAGTCACATGTTCGGATGTTGGCAATGCAAGCTTTCATAAATGTGACTGATATTGTTCAACAACTAAAAATTCATTGAATTCGGATGTTGACCAATTCGAAAAACCCTTCAATTCGGTTGTTCAACACCCAAAAAAAAGATAGAGTCATCTTCTTTTCAAATTTATATTATGAAAGGTAAAAAACGGACAAATATATAATAACAGAACTATTCGGTACATCTATAATAACACAAAAATATAACGAATATATACGTAATTTTTCGTATATTTTATTAGACTGCAAGTGCCGGACCTAGACTAAGTGCCATCAAATTTGACAAAGCCTATTGGTTGGTTGAAGAAGGTGACAATTACAATAAGGGTGCCGTTTGTATAAAGCAAAGGCTTTGAACAATCAAAGTACAACACATATTTAAATAGTGTCGAGAAATGTGTTTTTAACATTGAAATTTTTTGTAATAGCCTTAAAATAGATTTTCATTTTGAATTATAAATTTAAAGCTTAAAAAATAGTGGAGATATATGAAAACTTGAAAACTTTGAAAATTGACGGTCTAAAAATGTGTCATAAAATGCATTATTTTTAAAACTTGAAATCTATTTTTTCTCATGTCCATGCATCTTGATGTCGACATGATCAAATTGAAGATATTTGAGCATCAAAATAACCTCTTCTAGTAAAATTTTAACGAGGCTCTAATTTGATTGTTTAGAGTCTCGGTTCTATATAAACTTTCTCCTTTTAAAAGTCGTAAATCATTAGTGGTATTTATATAAGGTCGAAAATAAACGAGGCAATAATGAAGATCTCAAAACAATAATGACGATCTTAGAACGAAAGTTGGAAAACTTTGACTTTCTTAATCTTAGGTGGACCCTTTAATATTTGTACATGCATTTTGTATCTTAATCCTAGGTGGATCCTTTATTTTTTGAATTTTTAAAAGGGGAATGGGACTCTCCTTCCGTATCAAACTCTATCAATCGAAATCCAAAGAAAATATATCAGAATTGAAAACATGCCAATATTGTGATGGCCTTTTGGTCTGTCAACGCCCCTCTAACATGGCGATAGAGATATATGTAGAGAGAGAGCGATTTCATTACAAAGCCCCTCTCCTGCAAAATCAATTTAGGAGTGAGAAAGCATTTTCTCCCCTGCAAAATCAAACTCCCATTCTTTTGCCATTTTCTTTCATCAAGAACTCATGGCGTCCATGAGATTCTATCTCTTCTTTGGTTTCTCTCTCTACAGCTGCATATTCGCGGCTAAGCCCGAGTCTTATGCTGCTTTATTCAGCTTTGGTGATTCACTTGCTGATACCGGGAACACGCTTCTCTCTCTAAATGGCGGGTCCTCTCCAACTGGCCGCCTTCCTTATGGAGAGACCTTCTTTCATAGGCCTACTGGTCGCTTCTCTAATGGCCGCTTGGTCGTCGATTTCTTTGGTATTTTCTCTCTCCTAATTTCTCTTTCTCTCACCTATACTCTCTCCATCCATCCCATTTTGGGTTTCTCTCGATTGTTTTTTTTTTTTTTGAGTTTTTTTTTTTTTTTAATAAGGCGATGCCTTAAGCTTTAAAGCACTGCCCTACTAAAAAAAAAATTAAAAAGAACTAAAAAACGTCAAAATTCAGGCTGACCGAACACTGCCCTACTAACAAAAAATTAAAAATAATTAAAAAAATCAAAATTCAGGATGACCGAGAGACAATTTAAAAAAAAAAAAGAAAAAAGGAAGGAGTAACCAACCCTCTATTGTAATTTTCACCTAAAAGTGAAGCATTTCATATTTTTTCAAAAATTTTAGGGACCCCTATGTAAATCACTCTTAGCTGTATACAATTTGCTTATGTACTAACACCTAGGTGTTTTATTTGATTTGAAAATAATGCTCAGCGCAAGCGTTGGGTGTGCCTCTCCTTCCACCGTATCTTTCTACATTGGACGGTGGAGACGACTTCTCTAAAGGAGTGAATTTCGCGGTGGGGGGTGCCACGGCCCTTGATTCCTCTTATTTTATATCGAAAGGGTTTGAACAACATTGGACCAATTACTCTCTTGGTGTTCAGCTTGAGTGGTTCCACCAACTCCTACCTTCTCTTTGTAAACCATATTCTGGTAACACTCTCTCTCTCCCTCTAATTAATCCACAATTAATGACGGTTCAAAAAATAAAATATTTTCTCTCTCTCAAGATTGCTTAAAACATTTTCGAATGATTGCTTAAAACATCAATATCATGAAATGCACATTGTTTTCACCAAAGTTAAGTTGGATCGGTGATTCGGATCAAAAAATTGGCCAGATCGACCAATTTTATCCCATAAAAATTTTCAAAAAACAATGAAATTTCTTTAAAAATCTAGTTTATTGTGTTTACAAAGAAATTTGGCGTATTACATTATAGTTTTCATTGTTTTATCAAACTACCATGTTTCGTGGCTCAGTAATAGTCATATTTACCTTTGGATAAACAACTCTTTCATTACTTATTCAAACTCAATTTTTCCGTAGACAGAGAAAGAGAATGAAGTATTCAAAAATAAAAATTATATATTAAGAAGTTAAAGGTCCATAATAATCTTATCAAGTTGGACTGGAATCTCTACCAAAGTAAGAATGGCGTCTTTCAAAAATAGAGAGAGCAGAAATGGGCTAGAAACTATAATATGATATGTAAGAGAAGAAACAAAATGGGGCAGCCGATGGACTGTAGGATTATCCAGTGGAGAATCGGCGAGTGAAATCGACGATCCGGGCGGGAGACAGGCGGATCAATTGGAGAATCGGCAAGTGAAATCGACTATCCGGGAGGGAGATAGGCGGATCCTGATATATTATGAGATCGAGAATGGTTTTCAAAGAAAACACATTGCTTTTACCTAGAAACTGGACTCGAGCTCGAGTAGTTAGCAGTTGACTTCAATAATGTTACATCTCAGATTTAATTCCTACCGCGGGCATGCCCCAATTAAAAAAGAACATGTCGCTTTCACCCCTCTCTCTCTCTCTCTTTTTTTTTCCTTTTTTTTTTACATAATTGCAAATTGTAGAGAGTCTCTCCCCCTCATTTTTGTTTCTAACCACAGATTGCAAAGAGTTTATGAAAAAATCGATGTTCCTGGTGGGAGAGATAGGAGGTAATGACTGCAACTATGCCTTCGCTCGAGGGAACAGCACTGAGGAGGTCAAGGCTTTTGTGCCTGACATCATTGACACGATCATGAAAGCTGCCTCGGTAATGACTATTTATTCACTTTCCACTGCTCTAAAGATGAGAATCCAAACAGTTTTTGCAAGAAAAAATATATTACACAAACAATTCTAATTTGGCTGTGCAATTTAAAATTTTTAATTACCCTATCAAGATTCAAAAGCAGAAAAATATAAAAGGAACAAGGAGGTCAATATTATCTATAACTATTTAATGTAAAATCTGGCAGATTGGTACTTCACAAAGTTTATAAAATGTTTTTTTGAATTTTGAACCTGATCAATAGAAACAAGTACCTAATTTTACATCCAATCATCAGAATCAATTGTTACCTTCATGTACCAAATATATATGGTCTTATGGAATACTTTTCCTTTTCAAAAAGGGTGTGGTTTGTATAGAGCCTAAGCTCTAAACAATCAAATTAGAGCCTACTTTCAAATAGTATCGAGAAATGTGGTTTCAATGTTGGAAATCTTTGTGATAGCCTTAAAATGTATTTTCATTTTTATTTATAAATTTTAAAGCTTTAAAAATAGTATAGATCGACAGATTTATGAAAACTTGAAAATTGATTGTCCAAATTTTTTTTACAAAATATACTATTTTCAAAACTTGAAATCCTTTTTTTTTTTTCTCATGTCCATGCATCTTGATGTCGAGATGATCAATTTGAGCATCAAAACAACCTCTTCTAGTGAAATTTTTGAGGTAGGCTCTTATTTGATTGTTTAGAGCCTCGGCTCTATATAAACTTTTCCCTTTCAAAAATACATACATTATATTTGTTTAGGGTTGGAAACTCTAAATAAGCACGGGCATTTCCGGAATTTGATACACCTTTTACAAATAAGGGTACTCCTACCATTTGGTTGGGGACTCTTAGGAGTACCAATTATTAAAATGTCTCTGCTTGATCAGGGTTTCGTTCACTGAATAGGGGCAATTAAGATATTTTTGAAGGTTTCTTATGCCTTTCTTTTTTTGAGATGATACATGAGTAATGAAACTTAAAATGTAAACCCTCTAACTTAATCGGTATGGAAAGTTTTTTATGTTAGGGAGGTCAACTATTGAAACAAGTTTTCTACTTAAGCAACTGATTGAGAAGTTTAGGATGAAAAGAAAAGACCTCCACATGGTATTTATTGATTTAGAGAAATAATATGATAGTGTACCTAGAGATTTAATATGATGGGTATTAGAAAAAACAGGAGTCACCAAAAGCTATATTGACACAGTGAGAGAGCACTAACTAGTGTGATATACTGCTAATATATGTTCTCAATTTAACTTCACTCATTCAACTTAAACGCGGGCATTCATTAATGAAAGTTTTGAGACCCCAGTTATATCAGATAATCTTCCAATCGGGTGCAGCACTGCGTATTTAACCATATTCCAAACACAAGACAAACAAGAATATGACCATCGACATATGCAGTGCTATTCTAATCACTCTAGTCCATAGAATTACTATGGTCATATGGATCCATATTCCAAACACAAGACAAACAAGAATATGACCATCGACATATGCGGTGCTATTCTAATCACTCTAGTCCATAGAATTACTATGGTCATATGGATCACAATATACCTTTTTTTTTATTACACCTTGTAGCTGTGCTTAAAAAGGCAACCGTATTTAGCTTTATAATGTTTTCTGTCCATAATTTGATCTCCAATTGATAAAAGCATTTGCTTAAACACAGATACTCATTAGTGAAGGTGCTGAGACTCTGATAATACCTGGAAACCTTCCAATTGGCTGCAGCACTATGTACCTTACACAACATCATACACTCGATAAGGGTCAATATGACCCCAATACTGGATGTTTGACACGCTTCAACGATTTCGCATGCTACTACAACTCGAAGCTTCAAGATGCCATTAAAGACATGAGAGTAAGGTTTCCCCAAGCCACCATCATCTATGCCGATTACTACAACGCTGCGATGCTTTTCTTCGAATCCCCAGGATTAATCGGTAACTTTTTAGCCATGTTCTCAAAATATCTGCAATTTCTTAGTGACATTCTTAGCAGTTTCTGTTTTGTTTTTTTGGTTAAAGATCCAACAATTTTTGTGGAGTACATAAATACTAAAGTAGGTTACAAACTAGGAGTCCCTCACTATATCATTGGTTTCATATGAACAAATAGGGACATATTTACTGAAATTTCCTAAAGTTTAATCATAATTGATCTGAGAAACTTTCTTCCTCTTACGTATTTTCAATCACAACTCGCAAATAAAAGTTTCATCCCAAGCTAAAAGCATTACATAATCTAATTTTCCTCATGTTCATTGAGCCATGGATCTACAACCATATTTGCAGGTTTCCCTAAAGAGACAGTTCTCTCTGCCTGCTGTGGAGTTGGAGGCCAATACAACTTTGACCCTCGCCGTACGTGTGGCAAACCAGGGGCGACAGTGTGTGATGACCCATCCTTGTACACAAATTGGGATGGAATCCATCTCACTGAAGCTGCTTACAAAGTCATTGCGACCGCATTGCTTAGTGGAGAATTCACACATCCTCCGCTCAAGCTTGACCAGCCACGTTTTGAGACTGATCTAAATATGGTTGCCTAAGAATGACTTTAAAATCATATGAGAGGAAAACAAATGTAACCTACATCTCAATATGTAAATGGTGTTAGGTAACATGAAATACTATTTTTCCATTTGATAGACGATTTCTAACACTTACGGTAAAGTATGGATCAACTCAAACTTTAAGTCTCATGGTACCGGCGGAAAACCTTCTCTATAAGCGAAAACAAATGTAACGTACATGTCAATATGAAAAGGGTGTTTTATAACATAACATCAGTATTTTTCCAATTTTTAGGGCATTTCTAAAATTTAAGGCATGAGATGGCTTGGCTAAAGTCAAAAATTTTGTATCATGCTGCCAGCAGGAAAGCTTCTCTATGGCCTTATAAGTGGGAAATTTACTTATTTCTGTCTCGGATAAGTAGAGCGAGACTACGAGTTTTTTGGGTGTATGTGCTTGACAACACATGTTTTCCCTGTTGGGCTGGGCCATATGCTGTGTCCAAGGTTTGGATTTGGGTTAAAGTTGATCTTTTTGTTGACAAAACTTTTTGATAACCTTTAAAAAAGGTTAAGAGAAGAAGCTGAACTTCTCACCATGTTTAAGCCTTTGTAAGCCTATTTGTAGCCTTTTTCTAAAGATTCCAATATTTTGTTGTGTCTTTAATAGCCAGATTTGGATCAACCTCTGACATTGGCTATTCGGATTTCAGACCTGATTTTTCGCCTCAGTTATAACATCAAAGCAAATCTTCACTGGAGTTATGATGGTAGAAAGTCTTTTCACCGCGATTGTGGTGTTACAAAGCCTTTTCTTCAGGGTCTCTCACTTTGGTTGTGATGTTAAAACATCTATTTGCTACGGTTATGGCACTACAATGCCGTTCGCCATGGTTTCTTTCTCCCACACCCTAAGTTCCTTGTCAAGTTTCACTCTTCTCAAGAGGTGTGTCAACACATGATTGCCATATTTCTTCCACCATTTCAATAGTTAATAGCTTTCACTGTAGTTATCCAAGATATTTCTGCATTTAAACCCATTTGAGATTGATTTTTAAGTTCATTCCCCTGTTTTAATTTTTTACGCAATTAACTTGCATCCATAACTGTTAAAACCTTTCTGTAAATTAAGATGTACTTACAGAACTGCAGTCATATTTGAACCAGATCAAGTATATTTACCCATGTCAAGTATATTTAAGGACAAATTAGCGCACGACATTGTCAAAGGCTTGGAATGTGCAACTTGAAGAATTCTACAAAAGACTTCATTGGGATCGGTTGTATTCTAAGGGTATTCTCATCACGACCTGATTGTGTTTTGGATTTTTCAAGTTGGCCATCAAATACCTTGAAATCAGCTAGAGCGTCTCATGCCTTTGGGTCCAAAAGTTGAAGGAAATGAGTTCTTTGTTTTTTAGCAAACTTCAAGTCTCCTTCAAAACTCGGTTATACCTTAGAGCGTTAAGTTTCATTTGGAACTTCTACTTATCAAAAAACATCCTAGGGTTTTCTCTCTATTCTAGGAACTGAATGCACTAATGCAGGCTGAGGGGCTATTAACAGATTCTGGGATCGAGGGCTTCAAATGAACAACTGCGCTGTATGGATCGATTTCGCAAGCCGAATTTGTATCCACTCTACTCAAACCTTGGTGCATGATGATTATGTTGTTGGTTGATACATTCAAACCTTAGTAGAGTCAGATAAAAGAGAATGAAGAAGGGGTTGGAAAGGAGGAGGCATCTTCATGTGCTTGTACTGCCATACAATTCATTCCTCCATAAGAGGAGTCTTTCGTTGCATTTATTGATATCCCCCATATCTGGAACCACAAGTATCAATCGATAAAAATGAAGTTTAGAGCCCATTACCCCACCACTAGGATCTAAGAGGAAAATCCGATACTGTTAGGATATAGATATCTCGGGTTCATATTGATATACATCATTATATATATACATATATATATCTTGATAATATTAGGTATCTAGAAGATAGAGACAAAGTTACTTGGTCATCAAGTTATCATACCATATTTATCTCCTCTAATTGTGTGATTGTCCTCTATATAGAGGTACTCATTGATGTAAACATTCATCCAAAATAGTGAAGACATAGCCGGTTGGGGTTTTGGATCCGTGGACATAAGGCTTCGGCCTGAACCACGTAAATGTTGTGTTCTCTCTCCATTCTCGATTCTATGCTCCCACAAATTCTAACATGGTATTAGAGCAAGAAAGATCCGATCTTTGTTGTTGCTCGTCCTTTTGTGATATTTGCCTCCACCATTTCCCTCATGATCTCTGTTGCTGCTCACGAATTCGTTGGTTCTCCAGATTCCTTAGAAAGCACAGCGCATAAGTCTTTTGTCTTTGCATTTTTATATGCATGCCTCTTTATGTATGAAGCCAAAGATCTCTGAAAAGTTTTAGCCTCGAGGTAAACATGCAGCATACGAATAACATATGCACCCTTTGTTGATGATTGATGTATTGTATTATGAAGAAATAGATCTACCAAGGTGGAGTCAAAGGGACGACTCTTGAAGGCCGTTAAAGTATCTGTACATGGGGTACTTTGGTAATTTGTACCATCTGCCTAGAACTATATATATTGTTGCGATGGGGGTTCTATTAGAGTTGAGGAAACAAAGGATATTTCTTTGTAATACGAAACAGAGAGAGGTATAAGGACGAGAGTCATTGTAACCAATTCTCCATTGCCAGTAAAGCAGCTATCATCTCCCAGTGGACATAGGCACGTTGCCGAACCATATATATCTTTGCATTGTACTTGGTTGCCTCTTTCTTTTATGTTTGTTTCTTCTTTCTTGTTTAGTGGATTGCTTTTCGATTCTACACCCTTCATATAGCTTATGGCAGCATGCAAATAACAGATGCACCCTTTATATAGCTTATGGCATCAAAGATTTTATCAACCTCACGAGCATGGTTTATCTCAACCTCTATGGGATGTGACTCTGCCAATCCATCCAGTCTAAGACCTCCAGTTATTTTGTCAAGAAATTGCATCCAAACATTCCAATCAGGAAACAAGGGGACCTTGACCAGTTTCTTTATGCCGTGAAAAATGGTTTTCATAGTTATCGTTATTAGCAACAACGATTTTCTCAAGAGACGTGTTGAACAACTTCTCAGCGCATCTTTTTAGCCATGACTTTGGGATCTCACAAGGAGTTGCAGCGCATCATGGAAAAAACAAATAAGTCCAATTGCAAAAAAAGAAAAAAAAAAGAAGTGGACAAGAAGAGAAAAATGAGTGGTATATTTTTTAAGATTTGGGCTACTGTCTAGAAGCCCAATTTCATTATATATATATATATATTACAAGTTGGGTACTTCTTTGCATCCACACCCAACTTGAGGGGGAAAGTATAGGAGATATGGAGATGAGATCAGTAGATATGAAGTCGACATCTCTAATGTACCCTCTATGTGGACAAGAACATCAGTTTCGCTATTCGAGCATTTTTCAGTTGTCTCACGCGTTATTTGCATTTTTTTAGTTGTCTCGCGTGTTATTTGCTTCTAGTGCCTCGCCATGTTGCAGAGTACTTCATCACACCATTGTTGTAGTGACATCGTCAAGAGGAACACATACATTCATGATTAACAGATTTTTTAAAGAGAAGTTTTCATAAATCTTCAGTGTTCGTTGCCACTTTATTTATCGCAGAGCCGTCTTTGTGCTACCTTTGTAGTACTTTTAGTGGTCTTTAAAGCAAGTTTGGTGATCACGTATCCAATATTACATATCTTCGCTCTTGCAGACTATTCAAATATGTCAGTGATAGCAATGCAAGTGTCTTTGGCAACTTTTTGGTTTCAAAACTCTAGTTCCAGTTTCAGTTTCAGTTTGATAATCGAATTTCTCGATCCTGGTTGATGATCAAGTTTTTCGTTACTTGATCCTGTTTTGATAATGGAGTTTTCCGTTGCTCTATCCTGTGTGATGATTGTCATGTTTTTTGTTACTCGATCCCTGATATTCCGAAGAAGAGATAAATAAATATCATTTTCTTTTAAAAAGAGAAAACCTCTAGAAAGAAAAGAAGCCTCCAAGAGATAAGATCTTCAGAGAAGAAAACTCTAAAGAGAGAAAGTCTCTAGAAGAAAATAGAGAGCCCAAAAAATGTTGTTTCTTGAAAGACCCTAGAGAGAGAAAGTCTCTAGAGAAAGTAGAGAGCCCAAGGTTGTTTCTTGAAAGACCATGGTAACCTGTGAAATTTATCATGGATTTAATCACTACTTGTTTTTTTTTTGACAACTTAGTATTGGTTAAACTCTAGCTGCTTTGTATCAAAGTATCTTAAGTTTGAGAGGGAGTGTTAGGATATGAATATCTCGGGTTCATATTTATATACATCATTATCGATATATATGTATATATCCCTTGATAATGTTAGGTATGTAGAAGATAGAGACCAAGTTATTTGGCCATCAAGTTATCATATCATACTTATCTCCTCTAATTGTGTGATTGTTCTCTACATATATAGGTACTCATTGATATAAACATTCATCCAAAATAGTAAAGATGTAGCCGGTTGGGGCTTTGGATCCATGGACGGAAGGCCTCGGCCTGAACTACATAAACGTTGTGTTCTCTCTCCATTCTCCATTTTATGCTCCCACAAATTCTAACATATACATCAATCATTACCATTTCATTGCATGGATCGTGGCAGGAATGAATGCTTGAGTGCTGGTGATGTGGGGAGCAGGATTTGAGATATTTCCAGTCGCAATAATCATTTAAAACTGCCACCCGTCCTTCAAGTCTTTTGGTTTTCCAAGGTGTAGTAATCTTGTTGAAGCTTCTACATAGTTCATAAGATACATGGGTCCTGGCCTTGATTTAGTCCATCAAATGTAGCTGGCACCTAGTTGGGCATGGTTCACCTACACCCGAGAATCAGGGTTGAGAATTTACACGGTTTGGATCCGAAACCCGAATTTCGAATCCTATCTGAATTTAGGTATGGTTCCGATGGGTTGGATGCAGATTCTAAAATTTGGATCCGAATAGCAATTTAGATAGGGTGTAGGTGTATCTAATCCGGATCTTACCTAGTTATTAAAATATTATATATTATTTTATAAATATAAAATAATCTTTTGGATCCGATGGGGCCCAAATCCATATTCGGATCTCATGTATATCTTTTGGATTTG